CACACACACACACACACACACTGCTGTGAGTCTCCACTCCGCCTCTCATACCAAAATGTGCACCCTTTCAATATCATAGCCAATTAAACATCATCATTATACCACTGTTACACTTCCATGGTCTTACTGTTAAATTCATAATCTGCCCTTTTTATAACGAGGACTTTTAATATACCATCCCAGAGGGGAATAGCTGAACACTCTGGCTGTCAGGTTATGAACTCACACTCAAACAGATGAGAGATGGATTGTGCACTTGTTATATTGGTCCTGGAAAAACCTTCAAAAAGTTTAGTAACTTTGGAATTTCTTTTTTTTACATTTTCAAGTGGTCTGGCTCGATTCTAAAGTGCTATAAAGATTTTTTTTCCTGCAGGAAATGGCACCTATCAGTTATGGAACAGAGCTAGAATAAAAAAAAGAACACTTTCCCCTGATGTAGATGACAAAGTGGAAGAGATTAGGAGATATGGCGCCTGCAGCCACTCATTGTCTCACAGAGCGTAGACTTCTTAAAAGCTACTATAAAGTCTATGAAAGGGGCTTTAAAGAAAAAAAAGAAGTAAAAGCAAGGAGACTGTAGATAAAAGCTGGGAAAGAGCGTTGTACCCTCTGACAAAGCAAGCACGTAACTCATCCCCTGGCCTCTCTCTGGACACACACACAGTATATCTCCCCGTGGACACACAGCCCCTCTGCTGGTGTGAGGGGCTCTGGATTTGCCTTTGAGAGGCACCCATGCGGCAGGACAGACATTATCAGGGAATTAGAGGGGAAATAATGCTCGTCTCCAGTCCCACTGATAACAACAGCAGTAGTCAGGGCAGCGCGGGGCAGGGGAGCCCCCCGCATTCCTGACTGTGCCATGACGAGTGCCATTTGGGCCAAGCCTGTAATGTAAGGAAATACCAGAGCAGGTTGGACAGTTTCAGTTGGATAAATGTAATAGGATCAGTATAAGTAATACTCGTAATTTAAAAGTTTTTTACAAAGTGAGGCTCGTACTTATGCCAACAAGTTTAACTGCGCGGTAGTGACTTCATAATGATGATGTAATGCCGATGTGTTTATTTGTTCGGGGGAGAATGTGTCTTTTCACTTGATCCTCTTTCCAAAGACATCAGAGAGGACTGTCAGCTGATTGGGTTTCAGTCTCTTGTTCGAGGACACTCCCACAAGGGCTTGAACCTGTGCCCACCAGATTCTCAAGTTCACTTCAGTAAAATATGCAGCGTGCAGACTTGGTCAAATCCAAACTGTGCACTTGCTAAGCAAAGATACAAGTGTGCAATTTACATATTTTCATATTGCATGGATCCAAAACATGCAGTTCCCTGTCGTTCCCCTTCCCTAACTGTTTATTCTCACTGCCACGTCTCTCTCCCTGTCATTTCTGCCTCTCGGCTCCCTCCTTCGCTCCATCAATCGTTTCGTTTCCCAACAGATGGGGCTTAAAACCTCCACTGTCAGCCCTTTTCTCAACATCGCCCTCATGCAAATGAGAAGGCAAAAGATGGGAAGGAAACAGTGTCTTGGCGCATGCACTCGCAAATACCCTTAATCATACGCTGACAGACACACAAACAGGATAAATATGCACAAGTGCTGAGACACACTCAACTCAGCCGTGCACACACGGGTGCAGGAAAGCGGGCACATGCGCAGACATGTCTGCAGCATTTATCGAAATGTTGAAAACGGCTAAACACAACAAGACTGAACCCGTCCACGCACGACATCCGCATTTGGCCCTGCATCCTAGCTCCAGCTGTGGAGACATGAGATCCAGCTTCCTTTTACCCAGTGGCTATTACAGCTTGTCTAAATTCAACTGGTGGACATCTGGCTGTGCAAAAGAGATAACTCTCTCCTTAATAGGGGGATTTTAATTGGCTGCTGCAGAGCTACATCAAAAACCCAGCAGACCCTGAACTCCCTGAGGACTATAAACTCACATAGAAAAAAAAAAAAAAAAACAGTTCAACTCATGAAATTTCTCCTCCTGTTTCCATGCTACATGTCCAGTTCAAGTAGACTTTGTGGCTTTTAATTAACTTTTACAGACTCTTAAAAGGGATGTTTTGGAAAAGGAGAGATGACTTTCGGACCGTACAGTACACAACAGACCTGGAAAGTCAATAGGTATTGACCCAGGGCAATTAAACTGTAATCAGTTCATCATGTAACCCATTCAATGCAGTGCAAGCAAGGAAGGAAGCAGGGGCTTGGAAGAGAAGACGTGAACAAATAGCGATTGAGAAAAGCCGAGATTCTACTTCATTGATCTGTTTGGTTTGGAGTGACTCTGTATTTAAAGCTCACAGTTAACCACAGGAGCTTGGACCTGTGTGTATTGAGTTTCTCCCTTATTGGCTGAGAGCTGTCCACTACTGTTATACATGACCGGCTGCATTTTTAAAGAGAAAACCACGTCCTGTCCAAAGATTTGTTACATCTCACGGACGCTTACGTCAACTAATGTCAATTCTTGGAGAAATTCTGCTTTCCCCTCTACTCTACACTGTGGTGTAACATGCTGCTCTGTTACCTGATGGGATAATCAGCAGCACTGAGGTTGATGAAGAAATCCCAGCTCCAGTCCCTCATGGCCAGCAGGTCAGCCATGCTGCGGAGATACATGGTCAGCAGGCTGGCACCGCCCCAGATGGTGGACATGCGCCACGGTGTCACCCTCACATTGGGATATTGTGCGGCCAAGGCCTGCACCTGCCTGTGCAAGTAGTTGGAGCGCTGAAATGAAAAGGAAGTGACCAAACATTCATATTCTGTGGGACATCAAGAGATTATATTTCAAAAGTGAATGTGATTGAAAAACAAATAAATGTAATTACTTTAAATCAAAGACCACATTTTAAAGAGCCTGACTGGCTTCGTATGAGTGAGGACCTCATAGCTGTTTTCAACATGAACTCTGAATGTTCACACATTGGGGCCTTGACTTTCTCCAGAGTTTGCCTCCCACATATGAGGAATGTTACGAGGAACTCATTCTGGCCTTTTCACTAGTTTTTACTGGGGCTGGCAAGATTCAAGACTTTATTCATCATGTGCAATTAAATACAGCAGTCGATGGCAATGACATACTTGCATCACAGGCTCCCTTCTAGCTATGCTCCAAAATATTCCACACAAGCAAAAAATATAAATAAAAAATAGAATATAAGAAATTAAATAAAATATATAAAATAAAATATAACTAAAGTACTAAAACAAAATATATAAAAATCTACTCCTGAAATATAAATTATAAACAAAGGAAAAACTCATGATGGATAATTTCAGGACATAAACCGGAGATCAGTGCATTCTAGAAGCAGGCCACGTTGGTTCACTGTGTCTCACCTGATCAACGTGTATGTAGTAGTAGTGCGAGGTGTGGTAGATGGCTTTGAAGAGGCGTTGAAACTGGCGAGCAGCTCGTCCGTGGACCACCAAGACGAACCCTATTCTCACTGGTTTTAATGGGAAACTCTCAGCAGAGTCCTCGTCCCACTGGACATTCACATTGGCCTTCCCTGTGCAGGTATAAAGACAACACAGTCAATATTAATGTGCTTCATTCATTCACTCATCTGCATTTCATTCACACATTTGCTTGGATTCTCAATCTGCAACATAACCAATGGCTGATGATTATAAAATCACATCTGTTATTTATTTGATACGTTATGAGAGGTTGTGCTATTAGTCATTACAGGATGGTGAGCACTTAGAAATAAATTCAAGGGACAAAGAAAGCTAATTTGAAAGCCTAATGAATACAGTCATAAATGATAATTAAATGTTATTGTTTAATTAAACAATAAAAGGAGATAGCTAAACAACAAGGTTGCTAAGCAACACAGTAAGTATCGGTTTGAGAGGTGATTAGCATATTTATAATAATTAACTGCTATGTCAAAATTCAGTGGATAATTATATATTCTCTGTGAATGTGATCTGAAGAAGTACCTGTTTTATAACGACCAATCAAGAGGCTTTCTTATATGTTGAGACTATGATATAATGATATTAAGTGTAGGTGTTGCTCTCTTCTGCCTCATTTAAATACATCAGTCGTTCTCAGGAGGCCAAACTGGTCACAATTATGCAGAGGGAACCGAAGCCATGCTGCAACTGCAATATTAATAAATACATGAATAAATGAGAACACAGTCATACATCTATTTCAGCCTCGCTGTGGAACCAAAAACCAGCACCACAAAACCCCGGCTCACTCATCCCTTTTCTTACATGATTGAATTGGAACTATGACAATTTCTACCAAACACTACACGCACTGTGACTACTATCCTCTGTCACACAGGAATCCTGTAAGTGTTTTCTCTGGGGGGCTTCCAGGGTGGAGCACAGATTGACAGTGTGCTATCATTCCTCTTCGGCAAAACTCCCAAGATGTCTTGGATTTCACACAAATGAAAACGAGCGCGCGCCGACCCTGGTCAGGGCCTGCCAAGCCACTATCGAACTATAATCCAACCCCCGGAGAGCCGCTGCTGACCTCACATAACTTCGTACCAGCCTTAACTGCTAAAAAAACCCACTTTGCACTTTAAACCTAAAAAAAAACATTTCTTGAGGCTCTGCTTCACTGACAAGTGTCCTAAACATTACCAAAGACATTGTTTGTTTCTTTTGAATCTGCAGTTATTACAGCAAATGTGCACTCGCAGCTTATGAGATATGTTTGTTCACAGGATGTGCCTTAAGGAGATTAATGACTGTAATTTGGGACTTCAGTTCCCAAGAGCCTGTCTCTGATAGAGTAGAAGAAGCTGAGGGAATACTGAAGTGCGGGGGGTGTTTACTCCCGAGGTGATGGTTCTTCCCAAAAATTTTAAAGAAAAAAAAAGACCCTCCCGGCTCCACTGAGTGTCTGGCCCAGGGTCTTGTAATTACTCAAAATTTAAGGGCAAGTGTCCAACATGTCTCGTCTTTATGAGTTGCCAGGGTGGGTATAAGACAGCCCCTCCCGCCCAACTAATCTCATTGATTCAAATTTAAGGCCAGGTGTCCAACAAGGCTTTGTTTAAAGGTTTGACCACCAGGGTGAGGTTAATGACACGCTCCCTTGGCTCTAATTGGCCGTGGCTCTTGTCAGTCACTCAACCCCTCTCTCTCTCTCTCTCTCTCTCTCTCTGTGTGTGTGTGTGTGTGTGTGTCTGACAGCTCAGAGAGGGGAGCTGCTGTGGGCCATATCAGATTGAACCGTAATTGGTGGCCAGCTAAGAAGGTTCACTGGTTTGCTTTGCACACAGATAATTGGCCAGTCGCTTCACAAAGCACTTTGAGAGTGTGTGCTATGCTAGCTAGCCGAACTAATGAGCACTGCTCTGTGTGTGTGTGTGTGTGTGTGTGTGTGCGTGCATGAGTGAGAGTGAACTTACATTTTTCTGTCAGATTTTACTTTCAAGCATGTGTTTTTATCTGCAGAGGAGCTTCACTTGTAGTATTTTTTGACTTGCACCTGAAGACACCACAGGCGTATTACAAAAGAAAAAAAACCTGAAGCCCTCGACTTGAACTCATCACTCTTCATCATGCTTCCCCTCGTCATCAATCTTTTAAACTGCCTCTCCCTCATCTGCTATCACTTCACTCTCTTCCTCTATCGTCCCGTGTAACTTCAGGCTCTTACCTGCCCTCCATCTTAACTGCTCATGTGAGTGGTTTAAACAAGAGCTGAGCTATATCCCGAAGGACTTGGGCCAAATTGCATTTTTAAACATGGTGAGGAGGGTGTGTGCTCCTCAAAACCATCCACAAAGACAGGTTGGCAAACAAAGAGTGTAAATCAGGGGCAGGAAAGCGTCTGGCCTCCAGGCCAAGAGATGGTTTACAGGAAAGCTACTGAGAAATACTAATTAAAACCCTATGACAGCAGTTAATTTTTTTCAGCGATAAAACAAAATAACTAAAATAGCATGTCCTTCTGGCTGTACGCCTGTCAGGTCACAGTCAGGGTGAACGAAACATATGTAGTTGTTACGTGTCAGCATTGACAAGCATCATGGCGACTGTCAACAAAAGTAGCTGTAGAATGTTGCACTTTAAAAGAGAAACAAATACGGTGTATATATAGTGATGAACTGTTGGATCAAAAAGCTCGGGAATTAATCGTTCCTATACAAATTCCGTCTATATGATTTGGGTATAGTGATCAGGTTATCCCCTTACAATGTTCATTTTGGATCTTTTCTTACATGTTTGGACCGTAAAAAAAGGAATTTGCTTTACAGTTTTATACTGGCTGTCAGTAATTTACTGCTCCTCTCTGTGTCTCAATCATTCACGCTGCATACTGCCAACCGAATCGAGCCAAGCCGAGCACGCCCCACCATCTTGTCTGGCTCTCCATGCATTTAAGTTTAAAAATTGTGATGCTTTTACCCAGTCTGAGTTTACAGATGGGTCTGATGACAACACAGTGTCTGTGTTGGTGTGTGTGTGTGTGTGTGTGAGGCCTGGGACAAATGTGACAAATCTTTCTTGGAAAAAAAAAGCCAGTGTATATTTTGAAGGGACACAATTGCAGTGCTGGAAAATGTCTCAGTGTCATTACAGCTGGAAACATGCACTGGATGAGTTGTAATGACAAAAGCTTTTGGATAAAGTTAACGCTCTTCTGTGGAGTTAGTGTGCTCAACAAGGAGCTTTTACAAGACCGCATTCTGACAGAGACAGTGTTACACAGGCGAGTGTTGTGGTGACCGAACAGCTAAGATGCTGTAACCTCAGTCAGAAGGAGAATTAGTGAAGGTTGTTGCTGCTGCAGAGCCGCTGGAACCAGAAAAAGTAGAACTGTTCCAAAGTGTCAGTTCCTCTCGAAGAACCATCACAGAGCAGATTACTGATATTACTGAAGATACTGAATAAAAAAACACCACAAACAATTTTTCAGTTTTTCTTTCGGACCATCAATAAAACAACAGGCCTAACAAATACAGCCCAACTACACTTTTTTTTAATGGGATCTCTGCTGAGTTTGGTACCACAGGGGAATCACTGTCCCAATTGGAAGATGGCAGGGAGCAAATCAGAGCTGGTGAAAGAGAGACTGAAATCAGGAGTTACAGGCATGGAAAGCAAAGTAATGAGCTAAGAGAGGCTATGAAGCATGATAGAGGTGAGACCAAAAGTATAGTTGTGTGACAGACCTCTTGCACGGATTAATATTGATTATGGCAGCTCACAGCAAGATTTGTAATCAGATAATTTCTAGAACAAGGCCTTCAGAGTGCAGTGTTTAACCTTTTCATGTGTGTGTCTGTTAGTTATCAGGATTACACATATACTGCTGGACCCATTCAATTGTGGTGTGGATCCTGATCAGGGGGCAGATTGAAGAACTTTATTGCAATTAATTGGATTTTTCAACATTTTAAACGATGATTCTTGGATCTAGATGAAATAAACCAGGCATGTTTAGGGGGCTGACATTTATGAGGGTGTGCAATTTGGTGCAGATCCAAAGAAAGATCTGGATCTCGAGAAATGAAACGTGGTTTCATAAGGAGACTGTTGGGTCTTGGTGTATGTATTTGCTGCATGAGTGTCATTCTAGTTAATTTCTGAACCTGATCTAAGATAATTAACATATAGTGTGTTTCCTGTCATGCAGTTGATGTTACCATGGTCACAATTTACCTTGGTAACCATGTGTGGGCACTATGTAAATTAACATTAAAAGGTCTTGTGTTAATTAACTCCTGTGTTAATTGATTCCTGACATAAATACAAGTATAAATATTTCCCACCTGTAATAGCCATGTAGCACTGAACAGGGAGTAGCACAACAAAGACAGTAGGTCCATCAAGTTGATATATTTTTACTGTATATTATCACTAAACAGTGACACTTGATGCACCACATCAAGTTGTTTCTGGTTCCTTTTAATGAACAGTTCAAAAGTCAAATATTTGCTGACTAATGTTCAGGTGAACTTAAACTCAAAACTTTTCTTCAAATCCAGCCCAGCCATCAGAACCTGCAGGGCAGAGGTACAGTATCAATCCTCTAACGACCATTAAGTGAATGCTACATGGTATCAAGGTCGCTGTCTGCCAGCTAATGCCCCTGCTGGAGCCACACAGCCCAGTCGTTTCATGATTAGCAAAGTTATCATATGGGAGGCAAAGACGCTGAACACGTTCCCTGGCTATTCATTGATGCTACCAGAGCTAACACAATTGCTAATCTAAGCAAGGCCTCAAGGACAGAATACTGATCAAATCAAATTGGACAATTCTCTGCTAACAAGGTTAGGGCTTGAATTGGGCAGGGGAACAGAGGGAGGGAAGAGAGAAAGATGGAGAGAGATAACACATTGGCAGGCGGGCAGACGGAGAATAAGAAAGAAAAGTGATTTAATTTAGCTGTCGTGTTGTTACAGCCCAACCACCAGGGGAAAGCCCTTTTCAATTTCTTTGTCTCTTTTGATCAAACTGTCAGTTTGAGTGGGACGGCGAGTTGCTGTGTGAGATGACAGGAGCTTAGGCACAGACAAACGATACCCCTGCTCCTGGGAGAGGGAAATGTACAAAAGTTGCTAAGTCACCGTGCCTCCTCCAGTTCTAATAACATGAGCCAAGGAATATATCTGAGTAGAACAGGTGGGATGTATAATAGTTTTCTCCTTCTCCCCTGCTGTCCATTCTGCATTCAGTCTACTCCCATGAGTGGAAATGTATCTGTGTGTATGCACCGTTCACTTAAACACGGTTGCTGATGCGTGCGGCTCACCAATGGCTGCAGCCGCAACAGATTTTGTTTACAGCATCCACAACCAGACTGCAGATGTATATAAAAAGAGTGTGTGTGTGAGAACCTGTGTTCTGCGGCCAGCTTGAAAAAACAAATGAATATTGGAAACCAATTTGCAGAGAATACAAACAGAAACCATGTTTTCCCTAACAATTTACTTCACCAATTACACATCAGCAAAAAAGACGCTTTTTTGCCTTTGACGAGTACTGCAATTGCAGGAGCCGGAAATCTTTTACCATGTACTGAAGCCTGGCTGGTCAGAGTAGACGCTTTGTACTTAGCTTTGCAGATATTGTTTTTTCTTTTTCTGCCGTAAAAAAATTGCACAGCAGCAGAGAGTTGGAGGAAATAAAGTGGAAAAACATTAAATGTCAAAGAATACCAAGAAAGGACATTGACAACCTGTCAGCATTGTTTCAAAGAAGTTTTACTTTATGCTTTGTACTTTCTGTGAGCCTGACAGAAAAATCAACTCAAACAAAAAATCTTAATTAGCTCATTGACATCCTGATTTTAGATTCTTTTGGGAGGTTTTTGCTTTCAAATTGACTTGAGGGGAACAAATATTTAAAGGGCACTGCTGCCTCTGGCTGCTCTCCCCGTTTTCCCTTTTGCTTTTGGGAGATACAACGTTTCTCCCCTCAGAGCAGGATAACACATGTGCAAATGCATTATGGGATGTAGTATGTTTTTTAGTAGTATGTTGTTTTTTTTATTAGCATCACCACCATCACGTAGGTTCGTGTTCATGGATCGTGACCGTGTTGGTGGATCGTGGATCATGATGGTGGATCATGTTTGTAATCGTTATCATGGATGGTGATTGTGGTGGCAGCTAATTGCATATTGTGGTGGTGGATCGTTATCTATACACGGCATCTGTTGCTCTTCTGTCTGTCCTTGGAGAGGGATCCCTCACATGTGGCTCTCTCTGAGGTTTCTTTTCTGGTAGCTTTTCCTTAATGTTGTTGAGGTTTGAGGGCAGAGAATGTTGCACCATGTTAAGCCCTATGAGAAAATTTGTGATTTGTGAACATGGGCAATGATAATGAAATTCGATTGATTGATTGATGGAGGTAGCGTTTCAGATGATGGCTGGCGCTTTAAGCGATGGGAGCCATATTAAAGCAGATTACAGGCTCCAAGGCTCAGGCAGTTAGAGACATGTTGGAGCAGGAAGAAGTTCATGAGCTTTAGGGGAAAGGCAGTCGTTAACAATAAAAGCTAATTGTATGAGCTTTTAGTGTTTTTATTTCATGTTTCTTTCTGCTTCAGATGCAGAGAACTAAACGTTTTTATAAACATTGGCAATTCTGTTGGTTTTCAAACATCAAATAGGTTTGCAGTGCGTTTCTGTTCTGTACCTTTGGTTTTAAGAGGTTAAATATTTTACTGTACTATGAGCACGTACCTTGTTGTGTTACATCCTCTAACCCCATGTTATTGTCCCTCTTCATCCACTGAACCGAGTCAGTAGATTTTGTTGACTGATAGTCCATACTTTTCTTACTGGTGTTAAGTGAACAGGACTGAGCTGGAAAAACATGACGCCTCATGCTTCCATGCTCCAATCGATCAAAATGTGGAGACATTTGTCAATCAAACGCACACAGACCAGATGGAGGTTACACTATCAATAAATATTCATTATTGGACATTTGCTCCTGTACTTTGGAAGAATTGACACCATGTTTTCAGGAGCTTGAGGTATCTGTGCGGCATCAGACACTGTACAACACCCAACTAATTTGGACTCAATACTCTTGAATCAGATGTGCCCTCGTAGTCAAGCTTGATAGATATCGACCCATTCAGTGAGAGGATTTTTGTGCAGAATACAAAGTGACTGTTCTACCTCCCCAGGAATAACAATTTGAATGAACTAAAATCAAATAATCAATCATTTTAATTATAGCTATGGACTCACCCTCAAGGTGGCAGTAACGAGTGACCTTCTCAGGCATTAACTGCCCTTCCTTGTGTCTGCAGTACACCTCGGCGATCTGTTGCCGACACTCCTTGCTCTTGGCTCTGGACAGAGCTGAAATGGCTTCCTTCCCACTGATCTCGCACCTGGGTGGCTGGTCGTAGGTCACCTCCAGCGGCGATGCAGTCGCCTGCCTCCAGTGGGGGTGCTGATGTCTGTGCTGCGACTGGGCCTGCTGGGCCTGTGAGGCACGGTGCTGTTGCCGCTGAACTTCCGCGACGCCCTGACCAACTAGGTAGGAGGAGTTGTTGCCTACCGCTAGTGGCTGGTGGCCGACGGGCAGTACTTCATTTGAGCTGCGGCTCAGCCCGGGGGAGTTGTCCCGCCAGGCCTGCTGCTGCGCATGGGCTTTCTCCTGCAGGTGCTCCCGCTGCTGCTTGCTGCTCGTGGCCCCAACAGACTGCCGGTGTGGCTGCGAGCGAGCACCAAAGTTACTATTGTCTATGTTGTCAAAGTCTTTTGGCACAGAGTTCTCGTTGTTGCTGTCGACTCTACTTTTCTCCTTCGGCCGGTGGGAGTAATATCCATCCTGGTATGAAGAGAAAGAAGAAGGGGAGAAAGACAAGGGATGCATTGGGAGGGGGAGAGAGAAAGGAGTCAGAGGGGGGACACAAACAACAAAAACAAGATCAGAAATGAGTGAGCGTGGTGCATATCAAATGTCGGATTAACAATCAATGGAGCATGTTTGAGTGGTCAGCGCTGTGTTGGACCGTGAGGCATGAAATTAAGTAGCAAGCTACCGAGTGTGAGGACTACAAGGTGCAACTTAACAGGAGGTGATGCAGGGGCTGAGGGCTTCACTGCGATCAGATTAGCCCCCGTTTCAATTAAATTCTCCCTCAAATGGGCCCAGCACTCCGTAAACAGATTACCAAGGAGGGATAAAGGGACAAAATTTGACTGTGAGTTTGTGAGGTTGTTAAGTGTGTTTATGTATGTCTGTGTGTGTGTGTGTGTGTGTGTGTGTGTGT